TACGTTGAATAAGACATCTCACAAGTCCATGCTTGGCCAATCATGTCATCAGCCTTTGCAGGTTCAAACTTAATTTATTTTGTTGTTTTGTTCTTTCCTTTCACAGTTCGTATTCAACTCCTGACAAAAACCCTTTTGCGGCCTATTGATCGTCTGGGATGACAACCAGTTCATAGTCAACTTATTTGGCTCTTACTTGACAGTATTCTCACATCACCACGATTATTAGGAGTTTCCTGTGACTAGGTCTTTTATGAGCATTTAAATGATAGTCAACAAAGTAGCTTAGTTGGCGAGAACAGCAGGTTTAGTCACAAACGTTCCACTTGCAGTATAGGACGTTGAATTAAGCATAACAAAGGATGTTTTGCTGAATTCCTTCAAATAATATGGCGTCTCAGTTGCGGACCCATACGAAACTCACAATGCTATCATAATTCATTTTGGGCTCGGTGTAATATACGTATAGCTCAAAAATGGTATTTTTCATTTTTCATATATCCATATACCATAATCACTAGTTTCCTTGAAAAAGCGAACCCTAAAATATAACAATCATACATATACATATTACGAGTAGCTGGAACATCATAGCGAGTATAAATGGTAGGACAGTCTGAGTGAAGATATCTTAATCCGAATGATGTCTAATTTGTGTTATTCTCCAAATTGGGGGATAGTAAGTTAATTTGCAGGTCGACTAACTTCATTAGGCAGGCATCATCGAGCCAATGTTGCCATTCATAGTACCTGTCATGGTACAAGAGGTAATATACTTTATGACATTTGAAGTGCCATTTCAGAAGCACTAATTCATTTTATCTACATATGAAATGGATGATTTCATAATGAAACGATAAGCATGGCTGCAAAGGGTTAAGCCCCGATTGAAGTTCCGTGAATATTTTAAGTCCCAAGCGTCTACAAAAACAACTATACCTATGTTAAACGAGCTTTGGCACATTCGTAAGCAGCCAGTGAACCAAAAATATTGCTACAAAGTCACGCAGACACCTCTGGGTATTTTCTAATACTCGGAATATCAGATACAAGCGATTTGTGACTTTCTCCATATTTCCACAACTTTCACCTGCATTTCACTTCCGGCAATGTTTATTCGCTTTTTTTCTTTCATCGAAGCAACGATCATCTCTCACGCTAACGTATAAATTAAGTGAGTCAAGTGAGATTGTTGTCTGAAAACAGCGCTTTAGTTGGAGGTGGCCCGTTTATGATTATAGGAAAGCCGAGTTCTTATGTTACGCTCCAACACTTCAAATACTACTTATGGTGGTAAAACATATTCATAATCACCCCTCCTGAAATCTAACAATTAGGTTTGAACACTCCAAGTTGTCGTTGGAGGAAAACTCGTTTTAACTATAAAGCTAACCAACCCTCTATATGTTTGTCTTGGGAACATGTCATAATTTTTGCTCTTCATTCGTGATATAATGCAGTGAAGTTCAATTGATACAAAGAAGAGTGTGCATAAGAATACTGAGACTTCATTTAAATGTTTGAATCCAAAAAACAGCTTTTATTGTGAAAAAACGTTTTTTTGGACAGGGGAGAGATTTTATAGGCACTCTCAGGGAGAAGCACTTTCCTCTCGGCCTTTTCTGCACGTCCACCATACTCGAGTAGATGAGCAAGAAAATCCTCCTCTTGGTTGCAATATACGTAGTTCGCGTATTCTCCCTTTCCTACCCTCCTTAGATAGCTGACAAAACAAACATACTCTGTGAAAGACTGTGGAGTAAAGTAATCTATCCGTACTGCTCTCTTGCTAATCCAGGTTTTAATATCCGGAATCTGTCTTCTAATCCATGCACCATGACCAGTTGCGTCCGTCTCTCCTGCCATCTAACAAAGCGCGAATCTCTTTATCTGTCAAAGATAGCAAGCAACGGAGATACGTGACACATATTTTTCTAGTCTAATAATCAAATATTCTATGGTAGGTACCAATCAAAGCTATTTACAAAACTTCAAAATTTCTACCGATAACACTAATTATTCTCCACAGACTACAGACTACAATTACGAACGCAATGAACTTCAGTGTGCTTTTTGAATGGTATAGTAATATCCCTTTATCGTTTATTCATATAAACGCCTTGTTCTTTATAGTCCCTGGAAGTTAATATGATTAGCTTCTTATTTCTTCATTCGAACACCTGCAAAAGTTGGGTTTAACTTATGAATCCGCTTGGATGGAAAATGTTCTGCCCCATTAACATGCAAAGTTACTGCGTGCAACATTAGTGGGTTCTTATTGTTTAGTATTTGTTTAAAATACCTGGATGTTCACCTTTCTGAAGAACTTGATTATTATAAAGCTTCGTCATTGCATTTTCACAATTTTTAAGACACGTATACTAAGTGACATATAAATCCGAACACCCAGTTTAAATGATTTTATTTTAATAAAAGTTGGTAAATGTATTTATCTTACTGTAAATAACAAGTGAAAAAATTTTCAACCTTATCAGTTGGACATTCCGGTTTTTATACTGCTTTTTTTTTAATTCACTAACGCTCTAAAAATGAATATTTCAGCCGCAGTAAAGAATTAGCGTTGGCGGATTTTGGTTCTTGACATCCTTTACGATCGGTTACGATGCCTAGAGTACGGAGACCTGTACGATTTCGTCAACTTAGTGAGTTTGATAGGGGCCGTATAGTGGGACTTCGGGAAGCTGGACTTTCTTTTGGGGCAATTGCAGTTAGAGTGCAAAGAAATGTAGACACTGTGGTTAGGTGTTATCAGGCATGGCTTCGAGAAGGCCGTACGCAAAGAGCAAGGGGCACTGGACGCCGCCGTAGAACAACAGACCGTGAAGATCGCCGCCTAAGATTATTGGCCTTAAGGGACCGTTTCTCCACTACCAGGTCCATTGCAAATGAACGGTTTGCAGAACACGGAAGACCTATTGGCATGCGAAGTGTTTACCGACGAATGAGAAGTTTTGGCTTGTTTTCATACCGGCCACACTGGGTCCTCCCTTTAACTCGAGAACACCGACGTAATCGCCTTGAGTGGTGCAGACAACGGTCACTCTGGGATCAGGAATGGAACAGTATTGTCTTTAGTGACGAGTCTCGATTTTGTTTAGGCATGCATGATGGTCGTGCCAGGGTTAGAAGGCGACGTGGTGAAAGGAGGAATCCACAGTTTTTTGTTGAAAGACATGTTCATCACACTGTTGGAGTTATGGTTTGGGGAGCTATAGCTTATGGTTCCAGGTCACCTTTAATCTTCATCAGAGGTAACATGATCGCGCAGCGTTATATCCACGAAGTTCTAGAACCCCATCATTTACCCTATCTTGACACCCTGGCAGATCCAACTTTCCAACAAGATAATGCCCGACCACATGTTGCAAGAGTCACAATAGACTTCTTTCAACATAATGATGTCATATTGTTACCATGGCCACCAAGATCTCCCGACTTATCCCCAATTGAGAACGTGTGGGATATGATGGTAGGAGACTGCTCAATTTGCAACGTCCTCCTCAGACTCTAGAAGCACTTCGAGAGGAGTTGGTGGTTGCCTGGGATGAGATACCACAGGAGGACATTGACCACCAGATCAGAAGCATGCCTAGGCGCGTTGGAGAATGCGTAGCACATCAGGGTGCATCCACACATTATTAAAGGTCAAAGGGCTTTAAAGCAGTGCAATCATTTTGAAATTTTTATCATTTACTTATTATGCTTCATTAAGTACTTATACAAAATTTTATTAAAATAAAACCATTTTAACTGGGTGTTCGGATTTATATGTCACTCAGTATATTTGCGTAGTGTCCACCAGCAGAGGCATGTTGTAGTATCATTTCGCATGGTGCCGCGTATAGCCTAGGTACAATGTGTATCTGGTTAGTATTGCCTAAAATGTTAGGGTATATTGAGGTGTGTGAGCCTTTAGGGATAATGAGTTTGAAGTTAATGCTGATCTGCAAATACAAAGTCCTAGATGCTTCTACAAAAAGTTATTGAGTGAGAGTGATAATTAAAGAAAATTGCTTCGATTGTAACTCACTGGTAACACTTCCGCACCCCTTGAGACATTTCGAGGACAGCCATAAGGCACAGACATTTTTCCTTTACAGAACTAGTATTTCCATAGCGACTGTTATTTAAGCAACTTTATCTGAGCGGCCACGTTTGAAAAAGATCAATTTTTTTGGTAAGTTATAGATGGAACATAGGACAGTCAGTCTTAGAATGATAAACCTTTTTTAAATAAACTATGAAATTGTTGCATCGCAAGCCCCACATGAACAGTTTTTCATTTTTCATTTTGAGTGCAAGAGAGTCGGTTTTATTGACTTTTTTCGAAAGATACATCACAAAAGAGCCATGTAAAGTATTGTATTCCTCTCAATCAGTCTGAAGTTTGCCCTATAATGCCTAATTACTCATAATTTCTTACTCGGAGGTTGGTGGCATTTTTCTATTTAAGATTATGTTGGATTTTAGGAATCGATCTCAGTCCAAAAAGAAGCACTATAAAATTTTATTTACCCATTTTCGAAGTTTTTATCTACATTGCCATTGCCATGATTTTAGAACAGGATAGGATGCGTTACAATCCTGTTGACCTATAAAACTTGTCTGATAGCACATAATAAATAATTATTGATATACTTTTCTGATATTATTTTGTTTTTGAGCTGACGCCTACATATTGCAGTGAGTCGATCTGACCAACAGTCCTCTGATTGCGACAAACCGGTGCTTTTCCGCAGATGACCTTCAGGTAATCCTAAGGTATGAATACTAGAGCTGAGTTCTGAGTACCTACCTCCAAAGGAACGATACCCCGAAATAAATTGGAGGAATTGATTTCGATCATCTCGAAGGATTCGATTCCGATTCCTATGGTTCTGATCTTTTGGTATGATGATCTTGATTTTCACCATTAATTTCCTGGATACCTTACTACCTATAACCTCTTTCGCTATTATAATCATTCATTTTTTTTTTAGATTAACAAGGGTGTAATTGATAAGCACGTACGTCATATCATTGAGAAACATAGGGCTTCTGCAAACTAACGCAACGGTCTGTCCTTCGTAAGCGTTTTGATCTGTCCCCAAAATTTTTCTATTCGTTCATTTATCACGGTTCCATTTTAGCCTCGGTGTTCCTGGATTTCTGTGTCCTCGAGGTTTCCAGGCTTAAAAAGCGCTTATTAAGGACGATGTTTTCAAAAATTCTGTATATTTTACATTTAACTGTAATTTAGTTTCCTGCTAGAGAAGAATCGCAAGACTTTGACCACTAAGTACACAAAAAGGCAAAATATTGTCTTACCTTGAGACCATTTTACATTTAAGAAAAATTGTATAGTAGTATTTTGACATTTTTTGTAGTTTCCTTATGACTCATTTGTTTTTTCCCTCAAGGGAATGATTAATGGCTCAATTTTTATTTTCTAAAAGATGACAGTTTTTTTTGGATGTTTTTGTAGAAAATTAGTTTTCGGAAAAGATGCAAAGCACTACTTTCCATTTAATCATTATCTTTCATTTGTACCTTTTTTAAGCTCCAAAATATCAAAGAAGTTATGGATATACGGACGTACTGAAAAACCAGATCCTCATAGAGAAGTGTCAGAATTTACACAGTGTTCTGAAAGTTGAAACTTTCTTTTTTAAAAACAACTAGGCTTGGCACGACAATGTGCGGTGAAACAGTATCGAAAAAGTTGAAAAATAATGAAAGCAATACTCATAGCATTCATTTCATAGAGAGTTTCAAGTACCGCCCAATTCGTGTCCATAAATGTTGTTTGAAAATCTCGGATGTCCAACCAAAAACACAAGTTGCGTGGGAGGTATTTAACTACAAGCTTTTATTTGGTTTGACATGTTTGCAAGTGTGAGAGAAACAATAAGGCAATCCTAAATAATATATCATGATCGCCGGAAAACATCGATTTATCATTACATTATAATATATTATATCTATCGACATTTTATAATATCTTCAAATAAAACTTGATATTTTCTAGAGTCCATTAATGAAATATATGAAAACACAACAGTTTGGTCAATCGACATGTTAACCACAGAATAAGTTCCAGGTGTTACATTATATGGAAATTACACAGAAATTACCAAACTGGTTATTTGACAACATAATTACTAAAAAGTAAAAAATAAATAATTTAAAAAATACATTTGTAAGAATACACCTATACTTAACTGAAAATTTAAGAATTACTCTTTCCGATTGGAAATGTTTAAGCAATAATGAAGCTCCTTCATCTCAAGTTGTCAAATAAAAGCATGTCGCGTTTTGACAGCAGGATGAAAATAGGATGTAACACGTTTTTTTTTAAACTTTAGCTAAAGGAGCATCGTTATCGTTTAAATATTTCCAATCAGAAAAAAATATTTTAATTGGTTAGTTCATTTTATTGCCAGCCTAGTAAGAGCTTGTTTTTGAAAACGTATATTTTATTTATCATCATAACGAACAGTTCGTTATTACTATTTATAGGAGTATGCCATTTACGTTTTTCAAACCCGATTTGCAAACAACTTAAAACGCAATTTTCAGCTTTGAGATTTCTATTTCACGAGCTGCAACCTAACGGCTGACAATGGGTGTGTTAAAATTTAAAAAATTTAAACGGCGAACTTTAAACGCCATTTCCACCTTTGTGATTTCTATTTCACGGGCTAGAACTGAGACGGCTTGATGGATTTGACATTTGAGGTGTCGTTAGATTCGCTGTAAAATTAAATTTTCACTCTTTTCAGCTACGGCAGTCGAGTTGTTGGGTAAAGGAAAGCCCTAACTTTGTAAACACCCCGTACCCTTTGGCCTACTTTAAACTGAGAAGGTCAAAACACTCAGTGATATATATCTCACGCTTTTTATGTTGGCGATGTACAGCCTTCAGAGTTTTTTTTTCGGCAGTTTCAACAACCAAAAGTATCAGCAGCATTTTCACGTTGTGGCTACGGCCACAGTGTTCGCTATCAGGAGTCAATAACCCGAAATTCACTTTCAGAGATACCCATTTATTGTGCGCTTTTCGTACACGGTGCCAATGCCCTTTGCGATGCTAGTCTAGGAGCTGAAGTTATTCTACAGTTTGGCTTATAACGCAACTACGAGCGTTTTCATTACGAATCAAGCAACATTTGAGAACTGGGGTTACTGACAACTAAGGTTGAATATCATATTTGTGCTTTCCTTTATCCATCTACGAGTTGTTTGCGCCAAAGCTTATACATGTTACGTTCGATCATTGGAACAGTATCGCCAAATTTTTCTGTATAATATATCTGCTTGTTTGATTCCCGTTGTCTGTTTCTAAGACAACAGCACCTATACATACTGCTGATCACCACCACACATGAAAGTGATACTATTCAGCCTGTTTAATTGCGAACGCCACAGCTGGTAGCAGGCTGGACATTCAGTGCTCCCCTGATTGACGTTACCGCTGGGAGTTCTCCATTTACAGCCCGTACACTGAAGTTCGAGGGATATCGCAGTATTTTTTCTGTTTTGTTAAACAGAATAAGTGTTATGAGTAAAGACCCGATTTATATGTATTTACATGTTTTTACATATAACATAATATTTTAGGTTTTTTCTACATATAATCCATATACAAAGACATACGCTTTAAAAAACATAAAATGGCATTTTTTTTATTCAGACTGAACACATTTATTATTACTCATTGTTATGTAAATCTGACAACGGTGCACAAATTATAAGGACTACAAAGAATATTGGTGATTCCCCCAAAGCATATCGGTGATTCCCCCATTAATAACTTGGCACCGTGCCGTGCACCTGTCGCAATCCTTATTTAGAAAACTTGATTAGTAAATAAACACGTATTATTCTTCGCTGCCGTTTAATATTTAAAAAGATCGCCATGCCGAAAGTATCAAGCTCTAAAGCTGATTTACTTAAGAAATGGATAAAGAATGCTAAACATTTGTCCACTGATGGAACAGTTGTAGTATACTGTAACGCCTGTTCAAAGTAAGTGAGTATATGTATTAATATAATAATTAATTAATCTTTCATTATCTACGGAGCTATTGAAAATATTCATTATTTCAAGGTTTCTTTAAAGTTTTTTTTAAGAGCTCGTTTGATTTTAGGTATCCTCAAATCAGAAATTTCAAATCGATCAACACCTTGCTACAGCCACTCACAAGGAAATGGAGAAAGGATTTAACGGGAAAGTGCAACAAACGTTTGTTTCAACTGCATTATGTGCCAGCTCCCAACAAAACCAGGATTCTAAAAATGAATTTTATTTTGATTTATGCAACTCCATTGCACAATCAAACTTACCATGTAATAAATAAGAGCAACCGGCGTTCCGTAAATTTTTAGAAAAATATTGTAACCGCCATATCCCAAATGCATCCACATTGCGCAAAAACTATTTGAGGAAATGTGACTAGGTACGTTTAGAAAATATTACGGATAAGTTATGCAACACAAATATTTATATTCAAGTTGAAGATACAACAGATGCATGTGGTCGTTATGTTGCCAATATACTTGTTGGTATTTTAAACGAGTCTACCCCTCCAGTGTCTTATTTAATTGATTCTGCAGCCTTAGAAAAAACCAATCACTCGACCCTTGCACGTTTTATTAATGATAGTTTAACCCTACTATATGCACCAAATCCAGTTAAATCAGAAAACGTAAAATTGATGCTTCCTGATGCGGCCGCTTATATGATCAAGGCTGGAAAAGCTTTACTGGTATTTTACCCGGAATTAATACATGTCACCTGTATGGCTCATGCATTGAATAGATTAACCGAATTAGTACGTCCAAAATATTCTTCTGTTAATAATTTAATTAATAACGAAAAAAGATCTTTTTAAAAGCTCCCTTAAGGGTAGAATTTTACAAAGAAATGGTTCCTGGCTTGTCCTTACCACCTGAGCATGACATTACAAGATGGGGTACATGGCTCAATGCTGCCTTGTTTTATGCAGATAATTTCGTAAAAATCAAAGAAATTACAGAAAAACCTATATTGTTGACTTTTAGTTTAATATTATTTGATATGATATTATATTTTTTATTATATTAAACATAATATATTAATATATAAGCGTTTATTTTTTTGTGTTCGCAGATTTTTGTTTCAGTTTTTCCTCTTATAAAATCCATATTTCGTCTATTTTTTACAGCATAAAAAACATATTTTGCAGTTTTATAACACATAAAATTCCGGACCTTAGTTATGAGACCATGAGGAAGTTTCCTATTTTTAGAAACACACCTAAAAAGTTTCTTCGAAATTTGTATAATCGAATAGTGTTTCAATGTGATCAACTATTGAGATGTGGCAAAATGGGTTGCGGAGTCGAAGCTATGTATGGTTATTATTGACACTACACGACAACAATATGTTATAGATAATTTTTATCAGGCACCCAGGCAAGAAATATGTCAATTTTATGACTGCAAGTTGTATTATACAATAATAGATAAATTAAATCTTGGAAATATAAAACTACATTAGCGCAACAGACAGCTTTTTTGCAACGATACCCGCCATATCAGAACCGCTATTTCGATTTTTGAACAATCTATATAGATTAAACAAGATGCTTTCATCCGACCGACTAATAAAAGACGACAGCCAACTATGGACAACTGTTTCGTGCTTCTTAGCTACTTATCAATTTATATAGATGTCATATTCGTTATCAGCAATCTGGAAAAAGTAGAATTTGCTCTTTTTCTTGTGTTTTTTTAATCTTTCTAATTTTGGTGTAGTTGTAGTCACCGTTCTTGGCGGTTACATTATCAACGCCATATGAAATGAGTAAACAGATCGAGTCTCCGTACCACGGGTGGAACACTGTGCCCACTAACCTTTAGCGCATCTGCTACTCTCTCCAGTACGCATGAGGTGGGCAACCGGACCCTGTTTTCATTCTCTTTCAGGAAATACTATAATAAATATAGCACGAGCTGTCGGCCTTCTCCATTAATCGTATTTCCGGGCATTGTACAATTTTATATTGAAGATTGATAACAGGAAAACTCGAATTGCACGTCGATTTCAAGTAAGATGTCACTCTGACAAATATGATTGAAGGGCACGAAGTTTTCGAGACGGAGACACACAAGTATAAAACGTATGTCTTTGAGCTTACCGAACAAATAGGGGTAGGTTGCATGTGTATGTATGAGGGAGATGGAGATATATAAAGGGATACTGGTAGTATTACTTTGACACGCCAGGAACGGTGACTACAATTATAGGACTTTTGAACCACTGTAGCATGGATCGCGTGTGAGCTTAATTATAAATGCTGATGCATGTCAAAGCAAAAATGTCCTCCTGGTAGATTAGTGGAATCGGTTTCTAGAAAACCTTCCATTTAATTAATTGTATAACTATAATATCGCACAGCAGTATAAGCCAAGATACAATCAATATGTTGAGACTGGTCAGCTTTAGCGCTAACGATGAAACTCGACGCTACAGGGCGTTCATCTACATCACCCGCCACAGAAAATGGCACAACTTTTTCTAAACTTTAAGTGATCTGAATGATTCTCTCAGAATTTGAAGGATACCAATGTTACCATTTTATTCAAGTGAAATTAGCAGTATTTTCGTCTATAGGAAACTTCTTAATTCTACGAAATTTTTCTATGCCATCATCTCTTAGACTATTCTTGCTCATATTGTCGGCTTGTGCAAAGTACATCCAAGCTCCAGTGGTCAATTCTTGAACCTCGATAGTCTTGTTAATAGAATTATTATGAAAACACTGTGTTCGGCTTATGATCCGACACAAATTTGATACGGTGAATCGGCGATGTACCTTACAGGCATGGGCACCCATTGGGGAGAGGGGCAAGTGTGCGCATATGCCACCCCCCCCCCCCACTGGCTTCTGCCTGAAAGTGAAATATTCTTAATAAGAATCCCAATCCTTGGGTAAGAGTTGTTTTGCTGTTCAAAATATCCCGATATAAAAGATCTTATTTCTGCTACCATTTGGAATATTTGGCAACTGCGCTTCCTCCTAGGGTATAAATGAGACTCATCGTGCAACGTAGCGTTGGAATCGTCAGTTCCGAGCTAGCAGCCGTCACGAGCATACACTCGTGCGACTGCGACCCACCCGGACATACAGTGCGATCCTACTGTGATTTTCATCGCGGTACGATCGCCATCCACGATGGCGAAAGTAGAGAAGCTGGTGAGCCAGCTGAAGCAGAAAGAAGAGAATTTTGCAATGCTTGCTGAGCAGATGAAAAATCTGCAAGAAGCATTTGAGCGGGCGAGGGATGAAATCGATGAGGTGAAAAGGAAGCTCCTCAAAGCAAAGAGGAAAGCTAAGAAGACGGACGAAGAAGAAGAAGAAGAGGACCACGGAGAGGAGGACCAGCAGCCTACGGAGAACTTGGACATGGATGCCCAAAATATCGACGTAGAAGAAGCGGAGAAGAGGACGGACGACACCGATTTCAGTGTCGCCACCAGACGGAGGAAGCGGGTGCGAGTTTCCTCCTCCTCCGAAGAAGAAGAACCCAGGCAGCGAAAGATGCCAGCTGCCACAAAGAAGAGTGGTCCTAGAGCAACCAGGACCACCGAGGCCCCCATGGCAGGAACAGGAGTTCCGCCAATCAACATCGAGGGCACCGCTGATTGGTCATCCTTGAGTAGGATGATGAACAGCAAGGGGATTCAATTCTCCAAAGCGAGGACGGCGGGTACCAGTGTGAAGGTATTCACAAATACACCAGCTGACTACCGTCAGCTAGTCGCACTGCTTGAATCCATCAAGCGGCCCTTCTTCACATATCAACTGAAGGAGGACAGGATGGACCAGAGGGTCATACGTGTGCTTCCGAGAGAGATGTCAGTCAATGACATCAAAGAGGATCTGGTGAGCCAAGGCATCGCAGACGCCGTGGTTCAGCAGCTGACCTCAAGGACCACAAAGAAGCCACTTCCGCTCTTCCTCGTCAAGACGAAGATGCCGGAAAAGCTTGCAGAGATCCAGAGGCTGGCCATGCTCACGGTCAGCTTCGAGAGGAAGAAAAAGTCTTCCGAGCACAGCCAGTGCTACCGCTGCCAGCGGTACGGGCACACACAGCGGAACTGCCGTCTCGCTGAACGGTGCGTTAAATGTGGAGAGGACCACAACAGCACCAGCTGCAGTCTGCCAGCGCCGCCAACAGGGCAACGAAACGCCAAGTGTTGCCTCTGTGGAGAAGGCCACCCCGCCAACTACAAGGGATGTAGTAAGGCGCCGAAGAAAGCTGCTTCTGCCCCCAAAGCAGTCCCCACCACAAATAGGACTTCTTACGCCCAAAAAGTGAAGAAGCCTATGTCCACTTCTGCCCCAGCAGCCGCCACTGCTACTGGAACTACTGCGCAGAAGCAACACGGCGATGACAGACTGCTAGCAATGATGCAAGCCATCATAACCCGCCTGGATGCACTCGAGGCCAAGATGCAAGACAAGCACTAGACCCGAAATGTCTACAGGTCAAAACGTAGAATCTCTACGCATTATCTCCTGGAACATCAACGGTTTCAGGGCACGGAAACCAGAAATCCAGGAGATACTAGACCAGTACCAACCAGAGGTGATGGCCATCCAAGAAACGAAGTTGGATGCTGCCCATAGTCTGACGTTCCCGCGGTACGAGACGTACCGCTACGACAGAAGGGGCAGAGGTGGAGGAGTCGCATTACTCGTCAAACGTACCTTGACGAGTCATGTCCTCGACGATGCCGCAGACATAAATGGGGACGGAATCACGGTCCAGGTCCATCACAACCACCGTCCCTACAGAATCACCTCCCTATATGTGCCACCAGGGGAGGCCCTAGACGAAGATGACATCGCGGACCTCCTGAGAGGCCCAGGAGCACGCATAGTCATCGGAGATCTAAACTGCAAGTCTCCGGCTTGGAACAACAACGTCGAAGACAGGAATGCAAGGCAGCTCCAGGAACACGTCGATGCCCTGGCGGGGGTCATCGTCGGTCCGGAGCAACCAACCTACATTCCATTCGGCCTTGGGCGACCTGCGGTACTGGACATAGCCATCCTCCGCAACATCAGAGAGGAGTTCGAGATAGAGACCCTGGTGGAAGGATCGTCGGACCACAATCCGATTCTACTAACACTTGGTACAGGGTCTAGAACTCGAGATAGCTTGAGCACCAAACGGACGAACTGGAACCTTTACAAATCCAACGTCCAGAGGAACATCACTCAAATTCCAACCATCCGATCAGCGGAGGAACTGGACAACGCAGTAGAGGAGCTGGAGAATGCTGTCCTGCGAGCGCACGAGGACAGCACCCGCTCCGAGACTACGGCAGTTCCTAGATACCTAAATGGTCCAGCACCGCACCATATTAGGCACCTGATCAGGGAGAACAGAAGACTCAAGCGAGAACATCTCCAGCTGTTGACAGAGGAGTCGAGAGTTGCGCGAAACAGAGCATCGTTAGCTCTGAAGAACGCACTCGCGGAACTCCAAAACAACAGATGGAATGCAGCCTGTGCAGAACTAGAGACCCAGGATGGTACGGCCTGGTCTATGCAG